TTTCTCTCATCTTCTTTTTTTCATTCCATGTAACTGTTATCATTTTTTTGTCTATAAATTTTGCAAGTATTTACCTACTTAAAATTTTCTTAGATTAAGGACCTGCCCGAAACGCTGCGCGTACTAGTGGCTTTACAAGACTGTAATTACCATATGTATCCTCACATTCCCAATGTACCTTCTTGTATATGCATAAATAAATAAATAAATAAATAATATATATATATATATATATATATATATATATATATATATATATATATATATATATATATGTCGTACCTAGTAGCCAGAACCCACTTCTCAGCCTACTATGCAAGGCCTGATTTGCCTAACAAGCCAAGTTTTCCTGAATTAATATAATTTTTCAATTTTTTTTCTTATGAAATGATAAAGCTACCCATTTCATTATGTATGAGGTTAATTTTATTTTATTGGAGTTAAAATAACGTAGATATATGACCGAACCTAACCAACCCTTCCTAACCTAACCTAACCTATCTTTATAGGTTAGGTTAGGTTAGGTAGCCGAAAAAGTTAGGTTAGGTTAGATTAGGTAGGTTAGGTAGTCGAAAAACAATTAATTCATGAAAACTTGGCTTATTAGGCAAATCGGGCCTTGCATAGTAGGCCGAGAAGTGCGTTCTGGCTGTTAGGTACGACATATATATATATATATATATATATATATATATATATATATATATATATATATATATATATATATATATATATATATATATATATATGTGTGTGTGTGTGTGTAGCCGAAAAAGTTAGGTTAGGTTAGGTAGTCGGAAAACAATTAATTCATGAAAACTTGGCTTATTAGGCAAATCGGGCCTTGCATAGTAGGCCGAGAAGTGCGTTCTGGCTACTAGGTACGACATATATATATATATATATATATATATATATATATATAATGTTTGTGAATATTCTCGTGTATATATTTATTTATTTATTTTTTTATTTATTTATATATTAGAAGGTACATTGGGTTGAGATAGTAAAAATGATAATATAATGATATAAACACCTTGTTACAATGTACTGTTTCATCTTACATGATATATAAGTGTCATTAGTTTCGTAAATAAAGTTCTTATTTTGCTGGAGATACTCTCATTATTTAGTTAAGAATTACTGAACTGTAATTACCTACTGTGTATTTAGTGTGGTGCTTACCAGTTGAAGATGCTAGGAGTTGATATGCAGAGAGAGTTAGCAATTTAGCCTAGCAGGAATTCATACCTGTTATATTGTACTGAATTATATTACTGTACCTGAGTTTACCTGAGATCCAGAAATACTAGTAGTCTTGAAAAAGACTGAAAGCCAGCTGCTTGTAGAAGGTCCCCTCATTTGCCTTGATGATCTATACTTTAAAAGTTAGTAGAGTTTTGCCATTTACGTATTCGGCGGGTAGGTAGTTCCATATGTTAATAATCATGTTGGTAAAAAAACATCTCTTGTTCTCAGATTTCTCCTATGTTGTGGCTTTTAATGCTTCAAACTGTTTTATCATATTAAACAGTTTAAATATTAAAATGGTATATATATGTTTTTTAGAAATCTTTCTCAAATTATATATTTTGAATTTTAAATTTCAACCTCCTTAAATACAACTAGGTGACTACATTACTACTAAGTGAGTACATTTTTTTGTACATGTATTAGCATGTCTCTGGCATTTATTAACCTGACTCTGGCAGTTATATTAATCTGACTCTGGCATTGATATTACCCTGAATCAACACTGGCAAATATATTAGTCAGACTCTGGATATGAATTACTGTATATCTGTTTATTATTTAGTTACGACCTGGTGCTACCTCACTCAGCTAATTTAGAACTTAAAACATGACATTAAACTTCAACAATATATTTACCTGAGTTTACCTGGTAAATATATTGTTTATAGTCTATTATATCAATATTATATAACTCCCACTAATACCTCTGATGTTAATGACATTATTCTTTCTCTTAAACCAAAGTCAGGTGCCCTGGCTGAGATACAAACTGTAACTTACAAAAAAAACTCCTGATTTCATGCTACAGCCATTGCATTGCTCTACAACAGTGCACTAACCAATGCCTGAAGAGAAGTTCCAGGGCTGCTTCTCTTGAGAAAATGCCAGGAATCCAATAGATTTTTGCTGTAGAAAGTGCTACTATTTCTTCCAGTTGAATAAAAACCAGACTGGTGCATGGCTTTCCCAAGTTCTTCATCATAGCGAACATGGACATAACACCACCAAAAAGCAAGAAACTTTCATTTAGGCTACACAGTGAATCAGCTTTAGACAATCTTACAGAGGCACTTTACAATATTAACTGGGATTCTGAATTCAATAATACCCATGATATAAATTCATTAGCTAACCTCTTCCTCTCCAAAACTCTAAGCCTCTACAACCTTCATTGTCCCCTTCTTACCAAGCAAGTAACTGACAAAAGATTAAACAATCCATGGCTCACAAGTGGCATTCTCAATTCAATCAACAAGAAACATGAATATGAAAAGAAAGTTAGGATTGGCCTAGTTTCAAAGGAAGTAGCTAAAAGGTACTCATCAATGCTTACCAGTATCATAAGAAAGGCAAAACTTGCATATTATGTGAATAGATTCAATGAAGCAAAAGGCAACATGAAAAGCACTTGGGAAAACTATCTCTAGTATCCTAGGAACTAAACAACACTCACATAACCAAATAAAACTCTACAAGGATGGGGATATACCGTCAACTGATTTAGAAATGGCAAATGAATTTAATAGTTTCTTTTCATCGGTTGGTGCTAATCTTGCCAGTAAAATCCCACAGACTCAGACACATATTAACACATATCTCTCAGGCAGCTATCCAAACTCTCTTCTCCTTTCACCAATCAGCCCGGCAGATGTTGTGTCCATCATACATTCTCTAAAAACCAAGGCAGGGAACACCAGTGAAATTCCGTCCATTGTGTACAAGAGAGCCTCCCATGCCCTTGCCCCACCCATAGCACTACTGTTCAACAAATCTATAGAGTATCACACCTTCCCTGATATCCTCAAAAAAGCAAGAGTAACGCCAGTCAATAAAGGAGGCAATCCGGCGGACATAAACAATTATAGACCAATATCAAATCTACCCATTCTATCAAAAATATTTGAAAAAATTATTTACAAACAGCTCTATTCCTACCTCGTAAAATTCGACATACTCAGCCCCTGCCAGTTTGGCTTCCGGTCCCAAAAGAGCACCAACGATGAAATCATTAGTCTCCTTCACATTATCTACTCAGCCCTTGACAAAAATGAGTTTCCGATTGGACTCTTCATTGACCTAAGAAAAGCCTTTGATACTGTTAATCACAACTACCTCTTACTTAAACTCCAGCATTATGGAATCCGAGGCCTTGCCCTTGACTACATCCGATCCTATCTTAGTGACAGACACCAATATGTAACCATCAATGATACAACTTCTTCCACTCTACCAATTACCGTTGGAGTGCCACAGGGCAGCATCTTAGGACCTCTTCTATTTCTTATATATATAAACGATCTGCCTAATGTCTCTAATATTCTCAAACCTATATTGTTTGCTGACGATACTACCCTTATCTACTCAAACCTCAACCCACATACACTAAATAATGTTGTGAATAATGAATTTAAAAAAGTCCACTTATGGATGTCAACGAACAAACTAACATTAAACATCGAAAAGACTTACTACATCTTATTTGGAAGCAAATCATCAAATGCAATTCAGCTACAGATAGACAACATTAACATCAGTAATAAAAATGATGGCAAGTTTCTTGGCCTATTCCTAGACAAGAGACTCAACTTCAGCACCCACATTCAACACATAACTAAGAAAGTCTCTAAGACAGTTGGTATACTCTCCAAAATCAGATATTATGTTCCTAACTCTGCTCTCCTCTCACTATATTATGCACTAATCTACCCCTATCTTAATTATGGTATCTGTGCATGGGGGTCTACCACTGCAAACCACCTTAAGCCCATCATCACACAGCAAAAATCTGCTATCAGAATAATAACTAACTCTGCTTTCAGACAACACTCAGCTCCCTTGTTTAAATCCCTAAACTTGCTAAATATTAACTCCCTCCACACATTCTCTTGTGTCAACTACATTTACAAAACCCTGTTCTTAAATGCAAACCATGCTCTGAAACTCTCCCTGGACAGATGTAATAGGACCCATTATCACCACACCAGAAATAAATATCTCTTTGATATCCCCAGGGTCAAACTTAATCTGTGTAAACACTCTATGCAAATTAAGGGACCTAGTCTATGGAACTCACTCCCTAGTGAATTGAAAAACTGTAAAACTTTTGCCTTATTTAAAAGCAAAACCAAAAAGTACCTAACTTCATCTTCTTAGTTTCCTACACTGAGCTTTAAATTTGCTCTGTACCTAGTGTTACCCAATCTCCTAATTTTTATGTAATATCAAACAACCTTATCATTGTGTTCATTGCTGTCTTCTTTTATGTGCTAGCCATATGCTGTATTGTGACTACCAATTTTTGTCAACTACCATTCAAGCTGTCATTGCAATCAATCTTATATTGTTTCTGCTGTATTGTGCCTACCAATTTGTTGTCAACTACCATTTTAAGCTGTCATTGCAATCAATCTTAGCTACCAATGTGCTTTAATACACTGTACCTACAATTTTCTCTCATCTTTTTTTTTTCATTTCATGTAATCTGTTATCATTTTTTTGTCTATAAATTTTGCAAGTATATACCTCCTTAAAATTTTCTTAGATTAAGGACCTGCCCGAAACGCTGCGCGTGCTAGTGGCTTTACAAGACTGTAATTACCATATTTGTATCCTCACATTCCTTATGTACATTCTTGTATATGCATAAATAAATAAATAAATAAATCTACATATCCGCACTTGCACCTAAATATTGGGGTATACAGATCATACCTTCCTGCCCCCCCCCAAAAAAATAAAAAAAATTGAAGTAAAACAATTTTATTTGGCAAGGGATTCAAGTGTGGCTATCAATATATGTGTAAACCAACCCATAAACAATTCTCTGTATGGTTATAAATACGTATGTGATATAAATACGTCTTCATAAGTGAAGATACAGTGGTAAAGAGAGTGAAGTATAAATGGTTATATTGATGAAGACTGTAGCCTGGGTCACCTGAGCAATGCCAGCTACCAATACTAGTATCAAAAAAATGTTTCTTAAAGTAACCTACCACTTAAAGTTACAAAGATGCACAAATTATTGGAGCTTAAAGTTGTGAACTTGCTCTCACTGCAGTTCGGGCAGGAATTAGGTGGATGTGCTGGTACAACAGGCTCTGTTAACAATTAAATTTACAAGATCAGCTATGTAGCAAAATAAATACACGTTTCAATCATTACATTTTAAATTACTAATAATTTTTTTAGCATTAACTGGAGTTACATGAAAGATTTATATTTAATAACAAATAATAATTCATTTATTTAACTCAAAATCTGTAATTAATGAGGTAATCAATAATTAATGAGGAAAATGACCAATACAAAAACTACTAAAAAAATTACATGAACTAAATAAAATTTTAAAACACTGCTTGGTTCAGGATAGAAATGAGAGTATAAGAAACAGACTACAGGTACATTACTTACTCCAGTGAATGACATTCCCATCTGAACACACAGTTTGTGTTGGGTCTAAAGGCTCGAAGAACCCATTTTTTCAGCAGAATCGCTGGTGGAAAGGCATTACAAAATGCTGCTGCTGATCACATTTATGACACACAAAATTGAAAGCAGTCTTCACATTTTATGCTTGCCTCACAACTTCTACATTGTACACAACATTTGCCTGGTTTTCCAAAAAATAATGTAATTATGTACTTTGAATGGTAATACTGGATTTAGAAATATTGTATACCAAGTTTAAAAATGACAAACATCTAAGTGTATTCAAAGATTGACATTAATCATGCATTTCATAATTACATTGAAATTTATCCATAATTACACACTAAAGATGTTATTTACCTTTATCTGGAACTCCCAACTTCGACAATGTCCAGCTAAACAACATTGACCTACGTTCTCCCCATTTAATCTCACTATTTTTTCTTCTTTTTTGCCAATCAGAAATGCTTGCTTGAGAATCATAAATTTCCTCCAGTTCTGCAGCAAGTACTTTGAAATATGGGATTCTAAATTAGTCAGGAAAATCTTCAAGAGCAAATAGATGTAATAAATAAAAGTGTATTTTATACATATTATACAAGCATCTAGAACAACTGACAGCTTTCAGTAATGTGTTAGTTATACTATGTTATATATATATATAGTAGATACTAGGTACTAAGATTATATTACATTACATAGTTCAAATAGGGACGTACCAGAATTCAATGATTTTGGTGTTTGTTCTGCAGCTGGTAAATATGTTTGAGTATATGTTGGTACACTAGTTGAGAAGTCAGAACTTTGAATGTGTGGAGGTGAAAGAGAAGCAGGCAGAAGGGCTGTTTGGCAGAAAGTCAACCTTTAAGTATGGTAATTCCACAACACTTTATCTATTTTTAATTTGTAAACTATATACATTTTTTTGCTGTCTATGACCATAGCTGCCCCTATCTCCACCGAACACCGGTGTATTTGCGGCTATGCAAGGGCAGACCAATATGGCAGCCATGGCCTAATCTGTCATAAGACACAGGGAGAGATTGCCAGATATGAAGCAGTCAATGACATTATCAAAAAAAGTTTGGCTAGTTTGGTTCAGATGTAATACAAACAAAGAGCAACGGTTTCAAGTTCAACAAACCAAAATGTAGGGCTGACAACAGGAAATTATTTTTGACCCAGAGGGTTATTAACACATGGAACTGCCTACCCACCAGAGCTGCCAAAACTGTGCTGAATTTCTAAATATACCCAAAAAAAGAACATAAAGGCAAATGGGGGGAATTTCGACAAGCCGCGGGCTTCCTGTACTCTTCTAGGCTGCTAGAGTTTGTGGCATTCAGGTAAATATCTGTTTTCAAAGGAGAAGTTGACTATAACCTTGGATTATCTATAAACAAATTTTGAATAATACAACACCAAAAACCTAAATAATGTTAAGTCTGAGGCAAAATGAAATCTACACTAACAATTAAACCTATCAATATACTATGATATAGGAACACACAAACATGGGTCATGGAATAAATAACTAAATAAAAAATTACCTTCTGATAAGTTTGAACGTTGTGTTTGATTGATTTCAATAATCCTGCAGTAATTTTCTCCTTTTCCTTTCTTGTTTGAAGGCTTCAGATAATTTAGGTCCTCAATATTTAAACTTCGCTTCATATATTCACATTTTTTCTGGAGAGCTGAGTTTATTTTCAAATATTCACGATGAAGGATCTCTTTAGCTAAAATTGCTAGTGTCTGGAGACCTTCTGTTAAAAAAATATACATTCTCAATAGGATACATTATAACTGTAGCAAGAGAAGCTACATTAAATGTTTTGATGTAATTGTCTAAACCAATGATCAAAGTGATAGAAATTATAATGGGATGATGGATTTCAAGCCAATTATGCTGAGCATAGAAAAAAAATTCTGTTGTTATTGTTAAAACAAAGACTTACTGTATTACACAAGGTTGTAAACTTTGATATTAATGTATTATAAAGGCCATAATCAAATGATTTTATAAACAATACCATCATTATTGTCCGGAGTTATTCTTGGTACATCTGGTAAGTAAAGATAGTTTTCAGGAGCCAAGAACGAATCTGCCTAAAAAATATTGGACGTTGTACATTCCAATTTGTTGCAATAGCCTAGTACTGCATACTAATACAAATTAAAAAAACAAATTGGAAATAATAGCTAGGCTAACCTAACACAATGACATAACATAACACATCTTTATTTGTAATTTTGTCAAAAGCTGATTAAATGTTTTTTTACCTGCTAGTATGTTGGCTGGGGTCGATCTTCCAGGCATATTTATTCTACTGACTTGTGGTCTTAATGCTGCCACAGTAAAAGGATTTGTGACAGACATTGTACTGCTTTCTGTATCATCTACCTATTACAAATACAAATACAATTATTTATTCAGGTAAAGTACATACATACAAGGTAAGATACAAAAGTAGATGGATTTATAGATAGAGGTAGTACATACAATGCCTAAAGCCACTATTACGCAAAGTGTTTCAGGCGGTCCGTCTAATTACCACAAGCTACCACAAGCTACACAAGCTTCAGAAAGCTTCCTGGCAATACGTTAGTAATGAATAAATATGATATATTTACTCATTATAATGTTGGTGCTGAATGTACAACACGAAAAAACATAATTTTAATCTGAAAAAGTATATTTTTATAAAGAAATTTGGCGAAAATAAAAAGCTGGTGACGCCAAATCAAGTCGACGATCCAAGCGTCGGTTAGGTTAGGTTAGGTTTGGTTTGGTTAAGTTAGGTTAGGTTAGGTTAAGATAGGTTAGGATAGGTTAGGTTAGGTCAGGTCAGCCTAACCTAACATATCATATTTATTCATTACTAACGTATTGCCAGGAAGCTTTCTGAAGCTTGTGTAGCTTGTGGTAATTAGACGGACCCTGTTTCAGGCAGGAAAAACACTAAGACTAAAACTTAATACTAAAAGATATTAAAGTATAAATTGTGTTGAGAAAAAATAAGAAAAAAATGGAAAAAGGGGAGGGGGGGGTGAAACATGGCAGAAAAAAAGTAAAATACAATTTGGTCAACAAACAGCATTGTTTTAAATAGAAGAGATGGGTTGACATTTTGGGGGTGAGGTAGGTTACACTGAGTTAATTAGGTAGTACTTAGTTTTTAACTTAAACTGGTTGGGAGAGGTACAGTCTTTAACATAATTGGGAAGGCCACATTCGAGGTCCCTTGATTTGTAAAGCATTTCTAGTTTAACTAAGTCGTACTCTTGGAATATCAAATAGGTATTTGTTTCTGGTGTGGTGCTCATGGGATCTGTTACAACCTTCTAGGAAGCTTATTATAAAAAACATAATTGATAAAAACAACATGCTGCATACTAAAAACGTATTGGAATGTGTATACCAATATGCAGTAAAATATATTCTTCCTACACATAACAAGCAAAACTTTAATACTGCAACAAGTTTTTGAAAATTATTTAACTAAACAGCAATGAAACATTTGCATTCTTTTCAATTAGTAAAATATTACATATGAAGGAATTATTTACATAAATGCCGAGAAAACTTTACATACCATGCCTAAATCTAGGATCTTCTTCTTCTTGATAGTAGGTGCAGTTTGCATGAAGGATTTGTTCTCCCGATGACTGCAAAATCTAGGATCACGTGTGTTATTGTTTTTGAACGAATGATCACATGTTTACATTCATTGCGATGAAACTAACAACTTTTATTTATTTTTTTTTTTTTGAGATATATACAAGAGTTGTTACATTCTTGTACAGCCACTAGTACGCGTAGCGTTTCGGGCAAGTCCTTAATCCTATGGTCCCTGGAATACGATCCCCTGCCGCGAAGAATCGTTTTTTCATCTAAGTACACATTTTACTGTTGCGTTAAACAGAGGCTACAGTTAAGGAATTGCGCCCAGTAAATCCTCCCCGGCCAGGATATGAACCCATGACATAGCGCTCGCGGAACGCCAGGCGAGTGTCTTACCACTACACCACGGAGACTATGACGGAGACTTTTAATTATATACAGCTTTTTATATCAACTGTTTTACTTAAATTATTTTCTGTTATAGGTTCTAAATATAACTAATATTTGCTTCTTTCTTATGCCATTTGTAATTAATGTCATAAAGCTTTATCATCAGATCACCAAACTGTGCCTTTTCATATTTCCAAACTGAAGTCGAACACCCGAAAATGAATATATCCATGAAAACTGAATCACGTCCTACTATTTGGAGAATTGTTAGTTCTTTTTCATACTAATATGTCTAGTTTGTGTCATATAAGTATTCATCCCGATGGTTGGTAAATATTGGTGAAACAGAAGGATAAAAGTCAAACATCTGTTAACTTTTCTTTTAAAGTACTGTATAGCTGGAAAATATCAAGGCAAACCTTCGACAATCTGCCGATTTCCTTTCCTCTTCAAGGTTACTATTGTTAGTGTCTGTTACGGTAAACCTATGTAAAATAGGAAAAAAAATTTCAACAGGACCCTGCACTAGAGTTGATGTTGGGAGACGCTCTGCTTCGTGGCTGATGGATTAATATTTGACTGTTGGTCAGGACTTGAGCATTGTTAATTACAGTTACACTCTGTTGGAGCACTAGACGGTCAATGGTCGTCGTTCATCTTTATGATAGGTTCAGTTTATTGTTTAGTCGGGGACTGGTCAAGTCGTATACTGCAATTTCGGATACCGGGCTAGAAACAACTTCGTTCACTGAGAAGTTTGTACATACAAACCATTCCGTTCGTATATGCGCTGGTTTATGTTCGCTGTTGTTCTCGTCTGAATAAATACATGGCACGTGTGCATATAATTAGCGCTTCCATTATTAGTATTATTTATCCATTATTAGAATAACAAGGTGCAAACCATACCCCCTTACAGTTGAACTCTATTTATTTATATACAAGAAGGTACATTGGGTTGCGAGAGTACATAACATATATTAAGAGGTACATTGTAGCAAGATTTGAGATTAAAGGATTTAAGACTAACCACAATGCCCATTACCCCTTTACCCTGTTGTCCTTAACTACACAACTATACAAGAGTCATTAACACGTGTAATGGCTGATCCCCCATCACGATAGCATGAAGACCAATTGCCTGACCCACAGTCCGTCTTGCTCCTCAAATAATTTTCGGGTTAACATGAAAACGTCTCTCGAGTTTATCTCTCTAATGTTGTTTTCCCATCTTTCATTTTATCAGCTTAGTTCCTTTATTATGCCTCAAATACTCATCCATTGAGCGGTAGTTAAACTGAACCCAAATTGAAAAAAAGTTCCTTTTGCTAAGCAAGCTACAGTCTTGATAATGTCAGATATATTGTTTGTTAACACATTTCTCAACAATGAACAGTCAGTTTTATCAAGCTAACATATCCTAACACAACGATATATATATATATGTCGTACCTAGTAGCCAGAACTCACTTCTCAGCCTACTATTCAAGGCCCGATTTGCCTAATAAGCCAAGTTTTCCTGAATTAATATATTTACTATAATTTTTTTCTTATGAAATGATAAACCAACCCTTTTCTCTATGTATGAGGTCAATTTTTTTTTATTGGAGTTAAAATTAACGTAGATATATGACCGAACCTAACCAACCCTACCTAACCTAACCTAACCTATATTTATAGGTAAGGTTAGGTTAGGTAGCCAAAAAAGCTAGGTTAGGTTAGGTTAGGTAGGTTAGGTAGACGAAAAAACATTAATTCATGAAAACTTGGCTTATTAGGCAAATCAGGCCTTGAATAGTAGGCTGAGAAGTGCGTTCTGGCTATTAGGTACGACATATATATATATGTCGTACCTAGTAGCCAGAACGCACTTCTCAGCCTACTATGCAAGGCCCGATTTGCCTAATAAGCCAAGTTTTCATGAATTAATTGGTATATTATATTGTCATTTTAATATGGAACACGTACACATATGCGAAACGTGGAAAGCTGGTGTCCGAAGTGGTAAAAATATTAGTGTGCGATGTTGTCAATGTACGAAGTGTCTTGTATCCGTTTAGTCACGGGAGACATCTCCCGTCAGGCAGGGTGCGATCGCACCTCCACAGATCTCCAGTATCATCTACTGATACTGGTAATGGCTCAGAGAGGGCATCCACTTACGGGTTATTCATGGCTGTGCCACCTTTTGGGTGGCTTAATCTTCATCAATCACCAATCAATCAATCTATTGTTTAGTGGTCAGTATTATTCAGTTTATTGACCAGTGCGTTGGCATCAGTTCTCATTGACGAACGAGCAAAAATTAGAAGGATTTAAATCGTAATTTAAATAGTTATCTCATTCCTTCTTTCCTTTGAATGTCAGTGACTGTGCTTCTGCTATGCTTAATTGCCTCAAAAGCGGCCAATTTTCATGATACCTTAAATTATAAAGGCAAAATTTGGGCTGAGTATACAAGTATAAGCAAAATTGACTGAGTATCCGCAAAAGTTAAGAAAAGAAAACAGCACACCCGTTACATTAAAGAAAACGTATTCCTCGTTTCGGGGAAAATATTCTAGGGAGGTCAGCCGGTAACTGGAACAGCCCGGTAAGTGCATTTATGTACTAAATACGTAAGTATGAAAATGTACTTATTACACTTAGTATTAAAACATACTGTCTATTCGGAGGATGGGTTGCACAGTATGTAGAGGACAGATAGAGGTTGGAGGCAAACATATTGTGTGATTATTTTTGTTTATGTGTTAAAGGGGAAACATTTTTATTGGAGTGTCGATGGGTTGCAGGTTTGTCCTTTGGGGAAGAAGTTGCTGAGAACTTCAAAGCCAGCACAGAGGGAGTAGTTGATGAGACTCCAAGGTAGTGGAGCAGAGGAGCTCGAGCTGTGAGGAGAAGCAGTGAAGAGGAGTGTCACGTGCTTCTGTTGAGGTGGTGAAGCACCACAGTTGCTCGAGGGAACTTCATGGTGTAGCAGCCAAGAGAGCTGTGGAGGACCCTAGCAGAAGGGTGAAGCACCGTAGTTGCTCAAGGAAACTTTATGGTAGCAGCCTGGAGGAGCTGCAGAGGATCCTGGTAGTTAAGCCCAAGAGAACCTGAAGATATCAGGGTAGTGAACTTCCAGAGGTGGAAGGGAAGTTCTGGTGGATTACTTGTAGGGAGATGATAGTGTTTGGTTGTCATTAGCGTGCAAGACGCAGTGAGAGGTGAGTGATTGTTTGCATTCTTATGTCAATGAGTGTTTTATACTGAAGTTTAGAGTTACATTCGTAGGCTGGATTACATACAGATGTATGTGTTCTAGGACTGATAGAGTGATCGATTGATCATTGTTGTGTATCAAGGAACATTTATACTGATATATATATATATGTTATTGCATTCAATGCTGGATTTCCTTGTACATGTTTATAGATATATTCTCTTGCTGATGGTGCAACATTGTAGTATAAGACTTGATTTACTTGAAGAGGTAGACAGTATCAGGTGGGGAATCAGAAGATAGGATACCACTTGATAAGCTGATGATAGAGTTTTGATGGTGTTGGAGTGCAACCTGATTGTAATAATATAGAGTATAGGATTCATTATTATTATATGTGTGTATGTATTGTATATGTGCTCTGTCCAGTAAATGTGTTCCAATTTGCTGGTGTTTGCCCTTGTCCTAGTGAGGCTTCCCAGGAAATAGTAAAGGAAGAGAGAGAGAGAGAAAGAACCAAGAACCACTGCTGTGGACAGGGTAGAAGGTAATACTAGTAAGTCAAAGGGGGAATGAGGAGATCATATCACCTAAGGAGAGAGTGGGGAGTCACAGCGGCTCGAGTGGGTGTGTGCACGTGACAACGAGGCTAAGTGTTGGAGACGCATCCCCTAAATGTGTGACGTTGAGCCCCTCTCCAAGGGCCAGAAGCGCCAAGGGTGATCTCCTAGAGAGGTATAAGCATTCTACCGAGTTGTGGGTTGGGTTGTCCGTAGAGAAGGATCAACGACGACAACACAACCAAAACCCAAACTATCAAAACACAAACGGCTATTTTGGACACAGTAAAAGTATCCATGCATATACATGTTAAGAAGAGATGACAGAAAAGAGCATTCCCGGTTACAGATGTAAAAAAATATGCCCCGATATGACCACAACATTCAAGATACTGAGGGGAAATAGACATGGTGGACAATGACAGTCTCTTCACATTGAGAGAATTAGGACAAGAGGATACAGGTGAAGCAGGGAACACAAATGAATTGAAGGAATGAAAGGAAATATTCGTACCTTGTATAGGTGGTCCACAAGTGGAATGAGCTGAAATAAGACTTGTGGAAGTCACCTCCATCCACAACTCTTAGGCCAGATTCGACAAAGAATTCGAACGTTAAAACAGTTAGATTATAACACAACAGGTATAACAAGACTAGTAGGCGAGGCACAAGGAGCTAGACCTCACTCCACCGTAGTCACAGTTAGGTTTATACAAGTATTGTTAGGTAAGTACACCAGTAAGAAGATTATGTAATCGTAAGAAACACTAGAAGATATTCTCACTGTGAGAGACACCGGCAGCATCCGCTTGGTCGTGCCGAAGACGCTGTTCAGCTGACGGTGACCAGCTGAGCACTGTCGATGAAGCGTCCACTACTGCTGCAGATGCCTTAGAGGCAAAACTTATATTCCAACGGTTATCATACTTACACAGTTGCAAGAATGGTGAGGCATCAAACATACCAACAATAATTTCATGAAACTAATAACTGAGTGTCCTTTATAGTAACATAAACAAATGTAAATATCATCTCACTAACCATATTTACCCCTTCTTCGTCTTGTGTCTGACAAAACAGAAAACAGAAGAACCCAACACGACAGATCGATACGATAAATTAAAGAAACAGGTCAATTAAGAAATCAGAAAAAAAGAGAGGTCTTAGGCCGTTAAGGTGGAAATTTACGTGACGATGAATCTTAGAGCAACTACGTGGGAAGATTGAGCGAAGGACAAAACCACTGAAAACAGTATCCAGTGAACTATCCACTAATATATATCGGGGAGGAAATTGTCAATATACTAATTGAAATCGGTCTTCACAAACAAAGACCTTCAACATTTATTCTATATTGAAGCAATCAACCAAAACATTGAGGTAAACAAACTATGTAAATTACAGATAAAAGATGGATTTACTTAAAGAGATTGACAGGCTTAAGCCAAGAAAATTTCCCTCTTCTGACGATGTATTCAGTAGAGTCCTTAAAGAATGCAAGTAGGAACTTAGCGAGCCTCAAACGAGTATATTACAAAAATAAATCGGAACTGGCATGATATATGTAGCCTGGAGGGTTACTAATGTAATCCCAATATTCAAGAGAAAGGAAGAAAGAGTTCTTGCTGCAACTATAAGATTGATATTGAACTTGGGAAAGCTCTTAGAAGCAATAATGGCAGCTTATATGAAAATCATGTAGAAAATTACAGGTTGATAGGAGACATCCAACACACGACTGACATGTAGTCCTTCCCGTCCCACCAATTTACTTTCTTTATTCAAGTATATTCGAGGCTGTTGACAACAATAACAAATACAGTGTTGTATAACTGAACCTCAACAAGGCCTACGACACAGTTACCCATGAAAGGCGATTAAGGCTGGAGGGCACAGCATCGGAAGAAACACAAAATTGGGTCACAACTTGGCTGAGAAGCAGCAAACAGTGTCAGTATCAATGAATTCGGAGTGAATGAATACCACGAGGCATAATTTTTAAAGTTCCAGCTATTATTGTCGTTTATGTTATTTGGAAGTGCGCCTCTGTGAAATTGTGGTTAGAGCTTAGAGGCATTTGAGAGTATTCACACGATATATAAGGATTTGGGTAAAAATCTGTTGATTAATTGGTGGGAAAATTATCAGCTGTCGGAAAGTTATTGGAATGATGCGCACGTCTTCATTGCTACATTTAATGTTTCTACGACAAATAATTATACAACTAATCTTACTACAACTAATATTACTACAAATACAGCCACAATTATATCTACTTCTATTTGGGTATAACAAGCTGTATTTTAAAAAATGATGAAGCTCTTCATTTTGGTTATAGGTAAAGTTTGATTCTATAGTAAATACGATTTATTCTACTACTAGTACTATTATAATTACTACTACTTTGTATAATACTATAACTACTGATGTGTTACTACTAATATGACTACTTCTGCTACTTTACCACCATTGTAATTCTACCACTGCTACTTTGATTATTGTTACTACTTCCGCTATTACTACCACTGAGACAATCATTAATTCTGAGACTGTTGCGACTACTTCAACTATTACTACTACTGATACTTGCTACAACTGCTACTTAGACTACGACTGTGACTTACTACTACTGTAAAAAATCACAATAACATGTTCCTCTTTCTTTGCATTCACTCTTCTCCGGGGAAGGTAAACTCGGCAGTTAGTGTTGGACTGTTTCTTTGATGAAAACTTTTCAGTTGGTTTCCAGCGATACTTTACTTTATAGACGGTGTATATAATTTGCGTCAGGTTGTATATTCCTTGCTTCAAGGTATACATATTTAGTTGAAATTATGCCTATTTGGCATAAGTTATACATATTTAGTTTAAGTTATACACTATTCTTAGCAAAAATAGTGAATGATTAAATATTCACGATTAAATAAACACGACTTAGTTTAAGTTATACATATTTGGTTTGTTACAAATATTTGGTTATACATTATTTGCCTCCTTATAAATTTTTTGGTTTAAGTCAGTCATTACCTCCTTTAAGTTATACATTATTTAAAAGTATATGCATTATTTATTTCAAGTTATACAATACTTGCTTAAAGTTACAAATTATTTGCTGAAAACATTAATTACCATTTTCAACGAGTAAACAGTGGACTGATCAGGTGCAGGTAGTAGGCGCAAGTGTAATTAGTGGATACAAGTACAGGTAGAGACCCCAGATATAGATAATGGTCCCAGGGGATGGTTATTGTCTCAGGTAGGTGGTGGATGTACCTAGGAGTCTAGGTTTACCTGGAGTTGGCTTTGAAGTTGTTATTCTCAAGTCCGACGACAGGTCGCAGGAGATACCTAGTGTTTCCAGGTAGGTGGAAACAACCACCTAGTGTTACCAAGTATGTGGAAGAAGACGTCTATGTTTGCAGGTAAATGCCTGCAGGTGGGCTCAGATCGCTGGGCGAGGGCAATCGTCGGGCTGGACACAGTAAGGAAAGAAAGGGTTGGTGTTGAAGAGCAAAGCTCCTGTGCAGGTCTCAACAGTGGCTGGTTGACCGTCGGTGTGACAGTTGAAGTACTGCTGGTCACACGTCGTGCACTTAGGGAATAATCCTGTTGACGTGCACGTCAAGGACTCCTGGCATCCTCTAGACAGAAATGATTCCTCCCCCGGGGACCGTGGGGTCGTTACACAGTGCTTTACAAGTGGCGCCAACCACACAGTGACCCAGCTGTACGTCAAAGATGGACCCTGAAGGGCAGGTATTATGGAACATCTCGTAAGGTAGTCCCACATCGACACACAAGTAGTACTTGGTGCAGTCATAGGGGTCAGGTGCTTCTGTCCCTGCGGCATAGCAGTAGGCAATACACGGGTCGATGCAACACCCGCGCTTGTCCGCGCTGCAGGCCTGCTTCACGCCGTCAAAGTAAGGTTTGTCCGCTGGGCAGTCGAAGGGCCCCAAGAGGCTGCTTCCCAAGCAAATAGAATAGCGGCTGCAATTCGTCCGGTCATAGATCATGTCCAGGTCTTTGGTACATGTTGAACTACACGCTGGTAGCATGCAGTTTGGTCTACAAGGTGTGGTACCAGAACAATCTACGGCTGTTGGGTTGAAGGATGTACCAGCTGGACAAAACCCAGGAGCATCCGAGGGCAAGTCGGTCGCCAGACAGAGGTAAAACTGGGTGCAGTTGCGAGGATCTGGTATAATTGGCGGAGGGGAAGGGCCGCTGCAATCTGGCTCGCAGACTCCAGCAGCGAGGCCGCAGAGCAGCGCCGCCACCCACGCCACCTGCAGCAGACACCCGCTAGGTTAATGCTCTTGCTGAAACTACCACTAATAAAACAATTCTAACACCTTTACTAGACTCATAAAAATATCTGATAATTATTATAAGTATTCGATGATACTATTGCAATAGCTGTCAGTGTTATAATAGTTGTTAATGTTGCAATAGTTGTCAGTGTTATAATAGTTGTCAGTGTTATAAGAGTTGTCAGTGTTATAATAGTTGTCAGTGTTGTAATAGTCGTCGGTGCTGAAATATTTGTCTGTGAGAAAATCAGTTGGAGCAATGAGGTGACTCGAACCAGATTTAGTAATAATTAACAGGACATTACACTGCCTTACACATTAATTCCTCCTCTCCACAAACTAGGTTCAAACTAGAAGGGATCCATAATTTGTATATTATTATTGTTTCTTTACCATTTTTTGACAGATGACATGATTTTGACCGTCGAATAATTTGTAAAGAAAATTAGGCAAGTAAACGTCATGATTTTTCAGCTATTTGAAAGATAGTACGTTAGGTGCAAGTTCTTTTGTCGAGGTATCCAGGCGCCAGTAACCAGTTGATGGCTTGCCATAACCCGAAGCGGACTTGCTATGCTGGAGCTCCTCATATTGGGAGCATATAAGAACTGACCACATAAGAATAAAGGTAACTGCAGAAGGCCTATTGTCCCATACGAGGCAGCTCTTATTTATAATCAACCAATCCTACGCATATACATGTCCAACTCAAGGTTGAAACAATCAAGGGACCCACCTCAGGTAGGTCCTTACGCGGTTGCATGCACATTTTATGTTATTTTTAGTAACATTTCTCTAGCTGGTGGACCTCATCCTGCCACTGTTTCGGGCTATTTTATGTAGACACTGTGAAGTGGAACTTGTGAGTTGATACCATGAGTAGTATATGTCTGTTGTTATAAAGTGAGTCGTTATGAAGTGAGTAAACCTGGACCAATAGTTTGAGAGTAAAGATGATCTCCGGAGACTAGGATGGTATAGTGATTAGGATTGGGTAGACAGCTGGGTAAGTCGGTCTAGGATTGAGAATAGTGTTAGTTATTGAATATTAAGAGTATAATAGATATTAAGTAGTGTTTTACTCACCTAAATCGTGTGTGTGTGTGTGTGTTCCCCTGTCAATGTGGAAGTCTCGAGTAGAAACATAATATGACAATGAATAATTGAGATGAGAACTATCTATGAATATATTGAAATACTGAAATATACATGATGATATATTGAAAAATAGTTAAAGCAAGAATTTTATGAATACTTATTATATTATATATTTATTCTTTCATAAAATACATATTTATTAAATTACAGACAAATAAGTATTTATATATAACCTGATGGGCCCATGGACGAAATCTTGGTGGCAACAGGTTATACAGTAGAGAAAACATGACTTATATACGGTTTACATAATGCTACGAGTGCTCCGTCGTCAACTGCCCAACCACTTGGGCTGGACGATGGCCTGCTTCATGCAGGTCGGCGTTCAATCCCTAACCGTCCAAGTGGTTGGGGCACCATTCCTCTTCTCCTCTCCCGTCCCATCCCAAATCCTTTTCTTGACCCCTTGCAAGTGCTATATAGTCGTAATGACTTGGCGCTTTCTCCTGATAGTTCCTTCGTCACCTTGGGCTGGTGGAATCCTCTTATGGATTCCAGTCCTCTTAAGTCACAATTGAGATGAGGGGAACAACTCTCTTATGTCGTCACAAAACCGATCCCGGGATCCACAGAGTACTTACTTGTCATATTTATAAGATATCTTAATCACTAGATTATAGCGAGTTGGAGTATAATTACTCAACACTTTACAAGCTGCATAGCATTACGAGGTCATCCATAGTTATATCCTTGGACTCAGGTTGACATCAAAGTGCTTAATAGCTCGTAAACTCTTTAGAAAATAAAAACTAAGTTGTCAAGATTGAGGTTACCTTACCTTGAGGTTACCTTGAGGTGCTTCCGGGGCTTAGCGTCCCCGCGGCCCGGTCGTCGACCAGGGCCTCCTCGTTGCTGGACTGGTCAACCAGGCTGTTAGACGCGGCTGTTCTCAGCCTGACGTACGAAACACAGCCTGGTTGATCAGGTAACCTTTGGAGGTGCTTATCCAGTTCTCTCTTGAACACTGTGAGGGGTCGGCCAGTTTAGCCACTTATGTGTAGTGGAAGCGTGTTGAACAGTCTCGGGCCTCGGGTGTTGATACAGTTCTCTCAGAGTACCTGTTGCCACTCTGTTTTTCAACGGGGGTAGGTAAGAGGTACAACTCTCTTAAGTGGACACGAAAAGGCTTTACATAGCCTGGTACCGATCTGTAAACGAGGCAATTTTTGCACCATGCATGACAATGCAAAATATACACAAATTTCATTTTACTAAAAATCTCATAAAATTTTTAATGTAATTATTCCATTAGTGTACAAAATTAAGAAGTATTGACTTATTTTACATATTAAAAACTATAATTTACCAGAGATTAAGAGCAAAGAAAATATATAACAACATATATTTAACACGGTCCACATTACCATAACAACCAGATTACAGCATTACAGCAAAGTAATACACAGTGACATCACAAGAATGTGATGAGTCTTCGAGCCGGAGAGTTCAGGGACGTGGGTTCGATCCCACTGTATGACCTTAATACTCCCTCATCATGGAAATGACTGTCTTCAAGGACTGCTTTGATATAGATAAGCTGTATGAGAGAGGTTAAAGCATTATAAACTATATTTTTGTGTTTCAATTAATAATTTAAATCATTTGTTAGACAATATTTATGCCTACAACGCTTCATGGAGAGGCTTGTAATGCGTAGAAATATTGTTTAAAGACGTTTCGGAAGTTGTGATCTAGAAATTTCAATATTGCGTCTAAATGAAATCAGCCAATTAAGCCCGTATTTGGCGGCGCTCAACCCACTTTAGTGATTTATTTATTATGGTTGTTGTATCACTATCCTGTGAGATGATGCCATAGTGTACGATGTGGTGGACGAGGTGGTTGTGGTGACACCACACAAGGTGTTACACGGAGCGTCAACTACACAACTACTCTCTGTTACGACAAAATTGGATCCTGCTGGACAGTCAAAGTGATTTTGCTCTTCCACTAGTCCCTCTTTGGGACACAAGTAGTACTTATGGCAGTCGTAGGAATCGGGTGCCTCTATCTGGCCGGGATAGCAGTAGGCAATACACACGTCCCCACAGCACTTGGTGTCGTCCACACCACAGGCCTCGCCGTCGAAGTAAGGCTTGTCACTGGGGCATTCCAAGGGCCCAATAAAGATTTCTTCCGAGAAAATGTGGTAGTTGTTGCAGCTCCTTGGGTCTGAGATCGGGTCCAAGTTGCTGTCGCATGTAAGATCGCCTGGTGGCAGCCTGCAGGGAGGGTCACATGGCACAGTACCAGTACAGTCTGGAGGAGTTGCCGTTGCGTCGAAGGAAGTACCAGTCGTACAAGGCAGTGTATCATCGGAGGGTATGTTGTCCCCAAAACACATGTTATACTGAGTGCATTTCAGAGGATCCGCCAACTTATCCAGAGGGTTCTTGCCGTGACAGTCTGGGTCACAGTTTCCAGCAGAGAGGACCTGGGTGACGCAGAGCAGCACCCCCTCCCACGCCACCATATCGCAGACACCCGCCATGTTAATGTTCCTCCTGAAACTCCCACTGATAAAATATGTTAAAAAATATCAAACTTTATTTGGAACTGGAAATGCAATGTGAAACAAATCACCAACATGTGTGTCAAGAATTTATGGAAAGATACTGTTGTTATAGTTGTCAGTGTCGCTATAGTTGTCAGTGTTGTTATAGTTGTCAATGCTGCTATAGTCGTCAATGTTGTTGTCGGAAATCCGACACACACATAATAACATGGTTATCCCCTTAAAGAAAGTGAATGGGTGATTCCGTGACGTCATCGACGCCACGTATTTACATTACCCTAATTCTGTTTTTACAACAGTCTAGTGTTTAAATTTAAAAAACAAAATTGTTCACTAAGACTGAATATAATTACTAATACCAAAATATAGCTTGACTCGCTTGTTACTGTAAAATTAAATCTAGAAGTAGAACCACCAAAACATTGAACATGGAGGGAGGTAGCGTCACTTACACACTGAGACAAGAGTCAACTGCTAGCAGCCGTGGAGTGTGGACGCTTACCGACCCTCCGTGGCTGTTGGAGTTGTTTGTTGTTTTGGTCGCCAGGTGGTGTGGGCGTTCCTGCCCTACCAGTTTTGTTGCAGCTGCGTTGACGTGGCAGTCCTGACATGGGGGGCCATCTGCTTCCTGTTCAGCGTGTGAACTCCGTGGGTCTGGAGTTCACTTGTAAGGCTGGTTATCCGACCATCGAGATGGTGATGTGTGATATGCTTCGTGTCCCGGTGGAAGCTGTTTACGGTGTGGAGCTGGTTACGGCCCATCGGGTTGTTATTAAGTTCGTGGGGGAGGACGAGTACCGGGACTTCCTCCGTCGGTATGGGGGGCGTACGTTGCCGTTGCCAGACGATGCCGGCTCTGTGGCGATTTCGGACCGCAGTGGTGCCCTGACTTATGTCAGTATCCATGGTGCGCCCCTGGAATTCCCTGATGACCTCCTCCGGCGTTACTTCGGGGGTTTTGGTACTGTTGTCAGCGTGCGGGTGAACACGCTCTCCTCGGGGCGGTATGCTGGGAGGCGTACAAACATTCGCACGCTGGGGATGCGCCTGCGGTCGGATATACCTTCTTCTGTCCGGCTTATGAGGTACTACGTCCGGGTGTATTATGCCCGGCAGCCTCGTACCTGTTTCCGGTGTGGTCTGTTGGGGCATCAGGCTGCCGGGTGCTCTGAGGCCCCTGCTGCTCCTGTCAACTTGTTCCGCGACGAGGATTTCCCGCCGCTCCCTCTGGAGGCAGTCTCCGGTGATGTTGATGAGGTGGTGCGCGTCCCGTCTGCAGCTGCAGCTTCCCCGGCGGCGCCTG